GATAGCTTATTAAGAGTGCGAAAAAAAAATTCTTGTCTGTTGCTTAATAGAAAATGACTTTGCCTGAAGCCTGAAATGTTTCTAATTACTGTAATGAGCTGTAATCTCTACATGGCATGTAAGCTGCTTGTGAGACCTCTTCATTTACTAGCTGAAGACAGACCCAGTGTGGGTTTTTTGGCCAAATGGGTTTCTGAGAGCATTCTGATGCTGTCCTATGAGGTAAGAACAGCAAAATCCCTGTTGTTAGAATTGAACAGAATCTGAACTGGGTGAGAGGGAAAGAATTATTGAGATATTCTTCTCTCCGACTCCCTCTTGTATTTTGCCAGCAGGGGAAGGAAGTGGGTGACCCAAAGGACTTCTGCAAGTTCTTGAAAAAGTATTTCCTAATTTCTGAAGCTGAGGTGTGAAAAGGACGACTTATTTTGTCTCATAACAGTCCCAGCTCCCCTCTTGTCTTTGGGCTACCGATCTCATAAGCTCCTTTATTCTGTGGCTCTTGGATGTGCTTGGTGTCATGGCACTCGTACCTCTTTCTCTCGCCTCCATTTTTGATCCCTAACCCCTAAAATGGAGACGGGGGGGGAAAAAAATTCCTTTTTACTTAGGTCCCATAGCTCTTCAGGGGACTGAGTTCATCACTGCCGCAGACCCTAGAAAGGCTCTGCCTTTTTAAACTGTACCTACTGGTCTATCAGCCCAGTTCTGGAAGAACCTGCAATGGCCAATTGCAAATACTGGATTAAGTTTTGGCTATGTGGAAGAAACCACTGTGGGTTACAAGTACTTGTCAAACCTGTCTGTTTCACAACGTTCTGTGCGTTTAGCAACTGCCAGCTCCAGATTGGGCCCCTCTTGTCCCAGTTTAAGAGGCTTTGCGCTTAGCTTGGATTAGCCACTTTTGGCTTTTTTGCACAAAGTCTCTGAGCTTTTTTAGAAGCATCTTTGAATTCAAAATCAAGCTAGATATTTTTCTGTAAGTTTTCCTCATATTTAATGTTCCTCATTCATAAATCAAGAATCACTCCATTTCTGTAAGTGAATCTCCCTCTGACATCAGAGTTGAGGACCAAGCGAGAACATTTTTTTCTGTTGATTCTTTCCGTTCCATTTGTTTGTGGTTCCAGTCTGGGCTATATGTTGAAGACTGTATTCTTGTTTTTTAAATCTAGACTCTTTTTTTCTGTTATTAGAGAGCCTTGGTTGTTATGCTTGTTACTTTAAATTAGAGAAATATCTTGCTTAATAAAGCAGAAGAAGAGGGGCTTAGAGATTCTAAATATTTGCTACTGTTTAATAAGTATATCTACTAAAAATAGCCTTTGTAAAGAAGGGTAGTAACTTTTGTAATATTTTTAGTCAAAAGCAAAAGCCATAAAGGTGTTTTTCTGACATGATTAATGACTATATATCTAAATTCCTGCAAATTTTTGCTATACCCAGCGGAATCTAAGATTTTAAAAAAGACAAGAGTTTCTAGTACTCCTGCTTGCAAAAGTAGCTCTTCCTGTATTCTGTTTTGTTTGCTCTCTTGCCAGCCAGGCTAGAAGAGTAAGCGGCACCATCAAGCTATGCTAATGTGGTGAGCCGTTTTCATCCGTTTAATGTCCAAGAAGATTGATTCCTTATCTGCCATGCTCCTTACACGAAGGCTGCAGTGTGTGCATTTGCATATGTGGAATGCAGGATTGGGCACAAATCTTTCACTCTTTAAGACGTTTTGTCCAAAACAAACACTCAGTTCCAGTAAGTGTATTTTAGTTGATAAATATCTGATAGTTTTCTGGAGAGGAACTTGTTTGTTTTCTGTCATGCACCAGAAGCATTTTTAGCCTACCCCTGAAGCCACTGAACGTTGAAGTGGTGCTATTTGTGCGTTCCTGGTGCCGAGCCATCTAGATGCTTCATTGTTTGCCTTCCTCCAAAACGTGGCATCGTTCTAGACTGCCTACAGATAGAGCCATTCATTTAATATTTCATGGGGATGAAAAGGAAGAAAAAGACAGATCGAACCAATATCAATGGAAATGAAGACTAGCGTATGGATATTTATTATCCTATTGTGGAAGACCAGGAGACGTTATTGTTCCTGGAGATGATGTGATTGCTTTCTTTGGTGACATTACTAATAGTCTTCCCTCGTTGTTTGCACATGCCTAACTCCCTGGGCATTTTCTATTGATATCCTTATCCAGATTACCTATTCTCAGGTTACAAACCTAAATCTGAACGGTAATGAAATGTTTAGTGCATGTGTGAAATAAAATATAAATCACAGAGGCCATACAACCATTGTGTCAAGGTGAGAACCAACAATATGACACCTGCTGACTATTTGTTTAGCCCTCATGCAAAACTGTTGTCTTCAGTCACTTGTACTCAGTTTTGGACACATGTATAGTCCTTATTTTTTTAAGGAAGGACGTTTGTCATTGTTAGTTTATCTATGTAGTATATATGCATATACATATATATTTATAGAGAAATGCAAAATACAGATATAATGCATTCATATATGAAAACACTATGGCTATATTTATTCACAAAATACATATTTGTGTAATATAACAGATCTTATAATATGTTATTAATAATTTATATTATTTTCTGTAATATAAACACACACAAAATTCTTGAGGCCCTCAGTTTAGGCAAACACAGCCACGTGTTTTGGCCATGATTTGTAAAGTAATTAGGCAGGTGCTTTGGCGCTTTGCTTATTTGCGGAAAGCTAGCTGTGCTGTGATGGCCGATAAAGAAGGCCTGAACAATGTCCTCCTTCCTTGGTTGTCTGGAAAAGAGTCGGACTTGCACAGAAATGGATTTGTCACCTGAATTGCCATGGTCTGTGGGCCAGGGCAGAGCTCTACAGTGGCAGCTCTGGCGTTGGTTGTCAGCACGTGCTGCCTGGGAGGACTGAGCAGTGATTCAAGTATCTCGGGTAAGGTCGTGTAAACTGGTGCATCTCGAAGGAGTTATGCTGTGTTTGTCGTGGTCCAAGATGAAATTCTTTCAAGCCATGTCTTGCTTTCCTGTTTGCACTGAGCCTAGTGTAGGAAGAAGGGCTTTGGGGAGATTTTATAATGTAAATGCCACCTTTATTGGAATCTGCCTTCGTGTTGTAGGCACGTGCTTTTGAGTTCAGCGGTAGGCAGCGAAACCAAAAGGAACTAGTTTGACAGGAATTCAGGAGATGGCTTTTTTCCTTCTTGAAGAATAAGACTGAAACGTATAACCAAGCGTGCTTGCCATCGCTGGGAAAGTGGCTCCAGCTTGTGGGGGCAAAAATGACAGATCCCCTAGGAAATAAGGCTGCTACCTAATTGTGTATTAAATCTGTTGGGAGACGGAGGGAAGGCAGGATTTGGACTGCGTCCAGTTCTGCCCTTGCCTTGTGCCGTGTAACCTATTTTGAAATCAGAAGGAATTATGTATAAATAACTGCGGGTGGAAGTGCACGAGGGCGTGCGAAGGGACGTGATCACCTGATACGGCATTCCCATAGTGAGGTGTTGACTCATCTTCTTTAGTATGGAAAGCTCTTTTCTGGCCTTAGAAACACCGGTCCCAGTTTGGGAAGGCACTGGAGCCCTTGTGCAGAGTGCTTTTCCGAGGAGGGATTTTCCATAGTCGAGTCTTATGTAAACTTGAAATTTGATTTAGGGAAGAGGAGGGAATAAAGAAAAGTAGTTTCAGCTGCTACTGTCTGTGCGTAATATCTTGCCTAAGGAGACCTTGTTCTGTTGGTCCTTAGGCAATACCGCGATTAAAAACAATACAGACACCTGCACTTGGTGCCACCTGCCAAGCTGGTAGCTTTACACTCCTTTTTCCTATTTTTACGTTCTAGAAAAGGGCGATGGGGATTCTCTGCTGGGCTTTAGTTGCCATGTTGAGAAAGACGGGCAAACGGCGATAGCTGCCAAAACTAGGGAGGCTGGTTAAGGTGCGTTAGGAAACTGCAGTTCTACTTATTGGGGGGGGGGGGAGGAAATTACTTTTTTTAAAAATTTACAATTGCATTTGTTCTGTGCTTTCTAATCGTGCCAAAAGCAGCTGAGCAAAACCGTCCGGCTCTCGCCGGCGCTGCCTCCACGAGTACCGGA